CCAGTCCCCGAGCAGCGATCACTGCCTCCTGGCCAATTCCCCCAGTTTATATATTGAGCATGACATCATATGGTATGGAATACCCCGTTGGCCAGTTGGGTCAGCTGTCCTGGCTATGCTCCCTCCCAGCTTCTTGTGCACCTGGCAGAGCATGGGAAGCTGAAAAGTCCTTGACCAGTGTAAGCACTACTTAGCAACAACTGAACCATCAGTGTGTTATCAACATTCTTCTCATACTAATTCCAAAACACAGCACTATACCAACTACTAGGAAGAAAATTAACTCTATCCCAGCCGAAACCAGGACAGTTCTCAGTAGGAATCAAAAGCTACAGCTGTGCAAAATACAGAAAAAAGCAGGAAAATGTCAGTTTGGGTAATTTTTATTTATCCTATTATAGCTTAAGGCTGACAAGGCATTTAAAAAACCCAAACAAATAAACAAACAAACCACAAACACCACTCCTCTCCCCGTTAAAGCCAAACTACAAGCTGAAAAGTCTGCCACTTTACAATGAGGCACTTGCAGCAATGTTGCAGAGTTTTGAGAAAACTTTAAATAATAATAAAAAAAGAGCATTTACAATTAGTAAAACTCAGAAGTGCTCTGGGAAGACCATGTTTCTGAGGAAGGATGTCACGGGAGAATTTTCCAGTATGAGCACTTTTCTCCAAGAGAGGCTGTGGATCTTCACTCTGACCAATCTAGTGACTAACTACCAGATCAGACAGAAGACTGCAGTAACTTTTTATGAAATCCGTTATGTCTATTACTCTTGTTTTCAGTGTTGCTCCTGTCTGAATTAGCTAGAAGTTCGTAACATCTGCTGGACAGAGCGCTATGTCCGTTTTTAATTGTTAAAGCAAGCCTGTTAGGCCAAGTATTTTGACATCTTCCTTTCCAAAATTCCTTTCAGGGGCTTGTAGTGATGTCTACTGAACTGGAAGAAGTGGTAAACAGCATTCTGAAAGGCAAAATTCCAGGACTATGGATGAGTAAGTCTTACCCAAGCCTCAAGCCTCTGGGCAGCTATGTGACTGACTTCCTTAATAGACTGAAGTTCGTACAGGTGAGCACACCCCATTTACGCAGATTTGTTCAATGCTGCTTATTATTTTTGTCTATTGATGTCTGGTGACATCTCCACAAGTGAACACACACACACACGAATTACTTCCACTGAATAAATGACAGGTAAAGTTCAGTCATTTGTGCATTCGTATAGCTGTTTGCTCATCACAGCATCTAACGAAGCACTACATTTTGCCACATACCCTACACCTCACAAAAGAGAGCTGCAGTATGTCAGTAATACTGTATGATAGAATTGGCCTTCTGAAGTGAATTTACTAAGGGCCTCTTAAACTGCATATAGATCTGGTGGTGCTAATGAAGTTAATTAAAATAGAACTTAGGAAAATACTGTTGAGTTTCTTTTCCAGTGAGCAAACTTAGATTAGTAAAACATTTTAACACAAAATCTTATGTTAAAGTCAAATAGCAAGCTTTCAGTAGAGTGCTGGAGAAGAAAGCTGGATGAGTTAGGGAGGTCCCAAGATAGACAAAAGATCTAGGAACAAAAATCATAAGTAAATTAAAAAAAAAAAAAAAAAGTTTCAGGTCTTGAAGGATATTCATGAAAGCTGCTTTTCCAGAGAACCTCTATTTTATGTTTTTGGACACACATCACCCAGTCCACACACCTCAGTAACTTCCACTTTCATCTGTAGCAAGCCTGACAGCAGTATGTGTAAAGAACAAAAGTGCCATTTCTTGAACAGAATCCAGGACAGAAATTAAACTTGTACAAACGGAAAACTGCCATGCTATGAGGATGATTTTTTATTTCTTGGGAGGAAAATTACTTACTAGTAGAGACAACAAGTTTACTTGTCTTCATTGTAATGCTCTGCAGTGGATAATTGTAGCAAAATTTTTTCAGACATTATTCATAACTGATGTTTGCAACAATGAGAAAAAGGTCTTCCTGCATACAGTAAATATTCACCATTGCAACAGACCTCACATATGTTACAACCAAATCCAATGAATTTCGGCATTTTTAAAAAATCATTTTTATATAGAGGCCTCCACAGTGTAAGCTATTAAAAAAGAAAAAACAAAAACAAAAAACCAACCAAACAAAAAACCACCTTCCCCACCCCCTCAAATCAACAGAAGTTTAATTAGGCCACATATCCTCCTCATGAGGAAATCATCCTTCCTCATCTTCAACTTGCTGTACACATTTACAACACATGACTTTGGCCCTAGAAGGGAAATAATGACCCTTTCAAAAAGGAAAGAGCCTGCAAAAAATCCCGTCATTTGACAGAGAAACAAAGATGAATGCTGAACAGCCTTCAATGAGGGAGAGCAGGAGAACTGAACGCTCATTTGATGAACTTACAATCATGATGCTTGTTTAACAGACTTATTCAGACTAAGTAATTCACTTAAACTAAGTGAGGCAATTTCCAGGCAACAGTGTTGGGTTTTTTTGTGTGTGTCTTTTTTCATTTGAGGGTGTTTTTTTGTTTGGTTGGTTTTTTTTAAAAGCAGAAGCTAGTGACATTTTAAACAAGTTGTTTAAAAAGACATGGTAGCCATCCAAAGTTCCACTGCTTTCAGAAAAGGAAAAGACAATCCTGGATTCACAAAGGGAGAAATTACTTCTGCTGTTATTCTAGAAGATAATTGCTTTCCTAAATACTAAAAAAAATAAAAGGCAGGTTTTTTTTCTTTTCTCCTCCTCTCTCTTTTGCTGCTGCAGCTGTGGTATGAAAATGGAAATCCACCAGTCTTCTGGATTTCAGGATTCTTCTTCACTCAAGCGTTCTTAACAGGTGCCCAGCAGAACTATGCCAGAAAATACACCATTCCAATAGACCTACTAGAATTTGACTATGAAGTGCTGGAAGATAAGGAATATGAAATTGCTCCTGAAGATGGTAAGTAAATGCATGACACAAATATCTGCCTTTGCTGATGTATTCAGAAGCTAACATTAATTTGCAGACTCGGAGTTATGCGATTAAGTTAATGAATTCAGCTGGAAAACATACACAACTGCACTGCTCTCCATGAGATGCACAAGAAGTGAAGAGGCAAAATACTATTTAATTCCTTAAGAACTGCTGAGATTAGTTCACCTCCTGGATTAGCATGCAGATATAAAATAACACCAACAGAGGACACTCCTTACCCCAAACCTCCCACAACAGATCAAACTTTCAAGTGATTCTAGCTTGCCTTTTTTTTTCCCCTTTATTTCACTCCATTAGCATATATGTCTGAAGACACATATTTTCCTAAGCCAAGGAAAACCAAACATTTAGTAGAGAAGCTGGGTGTGCTACTTTAACTATCCCTAGAAAAATATCTTATGATACGATCACAATGTGCAATAGGGGACTGCTCTAAGGGGGAAAAAGCCCTACGTTTTATCAAACCACTTTATTATGTATTACTTACCTTAGGTTCCAGTTGCAGATAAGTTTGTTAGTTTGCCCTTCCTCAGAAAAAAGGACAGATTAAATGGAACTGTTCTTAATACTCGTTAATACTTTTCTGAGGATCAGTTTGACTGGAAGTTGTGTAAAAAGAAGGGCTTGGCAGGTTGCCTGGGAGAGCCACATCCAGTCAGTTTCAAGTCATTTTCTGTTGGGGAAGGTTTATTTTTTGGTTTAGAAGTTACAGTTTTTGGTCTACAGAGCAAGAAGGTGCAAGTTTGATGAAAAACAAATGTTGCTCTAATTCATTGTTTTCTTCTGGAGAGCTGATGGAATGACAGCTGTCATTCTGTCATGTCATTATGTCATGACATTAGGACAAGTTTTTTGAACATTTAAAGATTTTATTTATTTTTTTTTATACTTCACTCCTTTAATGAACCACTTTAGAGTATAAGCGTATGAACCGTATAAACAAGTGGCAATTTGAAACACAAGCAATGAAACAATGTGAAGACTAACTAGCGAAACACTGTTTACACGATCAAATCTCCAAGTTTGAAAACGTTAAAGCTGACAATAGGTAGTACATAGAGAAAACTTTCTAATAATGACAACTGTAAAAATAGTGTCCTGTACTTTGGAATAATTTTTAACCTCCATCACTCAAAAAGGCTGGATATGCTACGATATTGCTAGACATTGTAACTTTATAAATCTTTATGGAATTTTAATCATAATAAATTGTAATACAGTATAAGATAGTGTTATACTCAAAGTTATTTGATCATCACTTGGAACACACAAAATTGACAAAAAGTCCCACACAATCAACTGACAGTTAGCAAAGTATGTTGCACTAGCTGCTGCTCTCAGCTAGAAGACATTTTCAGTTTTTGCGTAATATGGTATCTTCTCCAACTGATTCAGGGGTCTACGTTCAGGGATTGTTCTTGGATGGAGCACGCTGGAACAGGCAAACTAAGAAGCTAGGAGAATCTCATCCAAAAATCCTCTATGATACAGTACCTGTGGTCAGTATCTTTCATTTGGTGACATTTTATAGTATGGTATACCAACAAACACGGTAGAATTAATAGTCTTAAGTTCTAGTCTTGAAGGAAGTAACAGGGTAATTCTTTTTAAAAAAAAAAAAAAGAATTGAAATGTTTTGTGTTGAAATAGAAATTAAATGTCTGAGAGGAGCTGAGAATCCTCTGCTAATAATGTCAGTGACAGGTAGTTTGGTTTTGCGTATTTTGGGAGAAGAAGCAATCTGATAAGAAAGAAGAAACAAGAAACAGGTTTTCAGGGCTATCTGTTAAAAAGCAAACAAAACAAAAAACCAACAATGTGAAAATACTTTGGCCAAGCCAAGACTGTTTCCCTACTTTTTTTTTTTTTTAAACTGAGATGAAAAGCATTATTTTCTTCTTTACTGCAGATATGGCTAAAGCCATGTAAGAGAGCAGACATTCCACAGCGACCCAGTTACCTGGCCCCAGTGTACAAGACCAGTGAGAGAAGAGGGATCCTGTCAACTACAGGCCATTCCACCAACTTTGTCATCGCAATGACTCTCCCTTCAGACAAACCGCAAGAACACTGGATCAGACGGGGTGTGGCGTTACTATGTCAGCTTAGCTCATAAACCTATCACAATTTATGGAGGTAGGTGCGTTTTCCAGATCACTTATAAGGGATGTGCATCAGTCCTGAAATGCCACGTAAAAGAGAAATCACAATGAGTTTGTTTACAATGTTGCATTTGTGCGTTTCACGAGACTTGAAACAAAATACTAAAATACAAAAGTGCACAATAAAACCTTATAAAAGCCAACAAAAATATCTGCTCCTTGAATAATTTTATTTTCTGAAGGCTCCTTATTTATAAGGAACATACATAAAATGAACACAACACTGTTGACAATGAACAAAACAGCATCTGATCATTTCCAGCTTTATAAAATTTTAAAAAATGATTTAGTTATAACAAAAAGACTGATAGCTCAGCAAGTTATCTTTATAGGACCGTAATCACACTTTAAACCATAGACTCAATTGTTAATGGAAGGGGAAAGAAAAAAGGAAATTAAAAAAAAAAAAAAAAAAAATCACACTGCATCTAGCAACTACAATATTTTCTAAGCATAATCACAGCGGATCGAGTGCAGTGTGATCTACATCAAAATTCATACAGGATGTCACACAGTGACAGCATTGTAATATACAAGTAACATTTATGCCCTCCAACAAATACAAGTTAAATGAGACTCTGGATTCAAGCAGAATGGAATGTTGAAGCCAAGTAGAAATGTAGTGGAATTCAGATTGTCTGTAACATGACTCAAAAGCGTACATTAGAATCATTTGGAATTCAATACTGGTGGAAACATATAGAAGAAGTCACAGCTGTTACACTGCTCTTCAAAACTTGTAATAAATACTAGAAAATAAAAGGAAACAACCCATATTTAATGAAAAATACAGTACCTACCTTCAAGGACCATGTTTTTCCCTTGTCTGAAGATGGTCTTGGAAGGAAGTTAACTATTTTCCTATAGAGGCAGTGTATTAAGCTATAACCATATTCCAACTAATACAAAAGTAAATATACTACCTGAAATATAGAAATCTTCATTTAAAAAGAATTAAAAGAAATAAACTTTAAAAAAATGATTTGACAAAATATCAGTTCAACCACATAATGACCCCCTTAATTCTATCGAGTATAACAGAAAAGGAAAATTAAGGGTCAGTTTAATACGTAAGAAACATAGGCTGTTTAAACTTAATCCTCAGAAGGTATCCAGTGAGTTAAGTCTCTTTGAAAATGGTACTCAGTGACCTAACGTGGGCACTACGAAACAATGTCACCCAGGATCTTTACACTGCAGAAATTCAGTAATCTGAAGCTAACAACAGTGTGTTTGCTAATTAGGGTCCAACAGTAAACATGTTTAAAGAAGAAAAGAAAACCTGAGTTCAGAGCATCAAATGGCTGCATGCCTGAACTCTGGGCTTTTGGCTTCTTCACTGAAGAAACTGTGCCCTTCTTTGAAATGGACCCTTAATACTGTTTCTTGATACTGCATTAGGAAGAAATACTGGCAAGAACCAACCGATATCTTTAAAATACATGAGCTGCTCTCAGTAAAAACTAAATTGACCAATGAAGCTTCAAAAAGTAAAGGGCCACAGGAGACACACATTAACTTGAAATGGAATGAAGATACCAACTGGCTCTCATTAAAGGCGTTAGGATCAGTGTTTTTAGCAGCTACACTGGCACCAAGCAGACCGAAACAAAACTTACGGCACAGAGTCAAAATACAGCTTTTACCTGGCATACACATAAAAGAAGACAAACTGTATGTTTTAAAAAAGGCTACTACCATGCTTAGGACTGGTACTACAGAATCAACTTGCACTCCTCACAAACTCACAATTTTTTTAAGGAGATGGGTACAAGAACAACTAACTCATGTCTGGCAATATAGCCATATCAGCACAATCCAATCTAGGACAGCTGATCCCAGCAAGTTAAGGCCCAAATTTTCAGTGTATCCTTCCAAATTACACATACCACATATCTATCACATCTGCTTTTTAATAATCTAATTTAAATACCAAAATTGTAAAAAAATATCATAGAAATGAACTCCTTTATGCTGGAATTAGAAATCATCTTACATACGCTCTACGGCCAGAAACGGCTGGTGCTACAATGTCTGGTATCAAGGCATTGTAGAAACAGTTTTGATCTGATATTACAGTATTGTAAATAACCTACCAGTACTACATACACAGAGCATAATTTAACCTTTGTGCCCAGGTTCAGTAACTAGCATCTTGCACTTTGGATTGTTTTAACACGAAGTGGAGAAAACATTCCAAAATAATTGTTAAAAAAATGGAGACATTCCCATATGGGTTCTGTGTTAAAAGAGTTTGCACAAATTCACAGCCACAATTCTTCAGTAGTTTATGCTGCAAGTGGCACACAATACATGTTTAGCATCTGTAAAAAAGAACCAGAAGTAGCTCAATAACTCCAACATCAGGGACTTCCCCAAGCTAACACTAATTCTACTGCATTTTGCATTTTCCTACTAATATCAAGGAACAAACATCAAATAAATCTTAGTCAGGAAAACATCGTCAAACTGATCCTCAACAGAACATAGCACTTTGCAGTGTATATTGCAACAGCCTGCCTTCTTACACATGAAGTTTATAATGATGGAGTGCAGCTTAACGCATACTCTAAGAATTTAAACAGTGTTTAGGTTTTGGGTTTCTTTTTTAAAATTTAAACCAGCACAATAGTTTCCAGTCATGTGCTGTTGTAAGATTTAATACTTCCAATCACCACTAAGCAGAAGAATCAGCACAGAATGAATATATATACACACACACGCACATATATATATATCTGTATGCACGCACATCTATATATATATATGCATGCACATCTATATATATCTATATATCTATCTTTATATATCTATACATATATATAGATATATACGTGCTACTTAAGACTTACGTGGCACTAAAAGCTTACTCAGTTCCTTGCAGAGGTATGAATTTCAGCTGTAACATTTTCTGGGTTCTGTTCAAATGTACTAATGAAATGGTATTTTCCCAAATGAGTAGGTCATTCACTGTTCTTTTTCTTTCTTAAGCAAGCAGTGCTTCCTATGTAGTACACTGAATTTGGCATTTATTTCTCATATTTAGTATTTCCTAATTGTCGATCACTTCAGTTTAGAAGACGCATTGGGTAATCTCATCTGATTTGAATTAGGAAAGAAGCAGAAGTTAATCTACACAGAAATGAATATACTGTACTTGTGTAAGTAGTGCAAGCCACTGCTTTTCCTCTGAGCAATGTGCATACAGTGAAACAGTGCAGACTCAAAGCCATACAGTAACATTATTGTAACCACAGTGATTACCAGAATTAGGTCAAAACTGGATGTCAAGCACAATTTTATCTTCATAGAGGGCAATCACCAGCATGATGGCAAATCCAAGAAGAAGGCCGAGATTCTGAAGAATGAACTGCCCCACGGGACAATAACCATGCTCTTCATTATCTCCATCTCCATGAAGCATTTCTGGAAGCTAAAAGGAAAACAATTTAGAAAGTTATTTCACCTCTATTCCATTTATACACAGACAAGCTTACAAGATGATATTGTCAAGAATAAACACTCCAGGATTCAGTTATAAAAACAATACACTAAGACAGCTAAAACTCTACCTAACCACTACATTTGATAAAAACATGGTCACATCACGTATTTACAAAACAAACAAAAAATGCCTTCCTTTCGACTTTTTTTTTTCTTAAGCTTTTACTGGATCACACACCTACTTGAACTTTAAGTTCCTCAAGATAAGGACCAATCCAGCATTCTTCAAGTTCTGCTCTTTCGAGTTCTTTTACTCAATTAAAATTAAGTAATGCTCAAACAAACGTAATAAAAAGCTTTAACTATTGCTACAGTAATTACATTGCTATAAATATACCCTTTATAATGACTTTGTTGATTAACTTAGCCATTCATTTGTCATGTTATATGCTTACACATATTCACATACATTTTGCTTTTAAATATGGGAATAATAGCTACAAGTAATTCAAGAGAAATTCTGTGTGAAGCTATAAAAAATTCTGAAAGTTCTGGATATTCCTTATATTCCTCACCTGTAAAGAAAAGTCAAATAGTACTGACAAAAGCAACAAATAATCATGGACTTGGAAGATGTAAAAATAAATCTTATGAAGCTTCTTACAAAGCCACCCATACAGAAATAACTTAAAATGTTTTACAAAGAAATTAATTAAAGCAAGCATGAGGTAAACGAAGGAATTCCTTCAAGACACACTTAGGACAGAAAAACATAATACAGAACAAAATGGAAACTTCAGGTAGTACACAGCACAAGTCTCTATTTATTGCTCTTCACTAAATAGGCTAGAATAGTTTTGGTTATTCTGAGTACCTGAATACTGCACAACAGACAATGACAAAATCTGCTAAAAACCCAAATATATTACCCATCCGGTCTTGTATTACTGTATTTCAAAAAGATATGTCAAGCTGACAATTAATTTGACCCACTGAGTATTTAAATATAAAAAAAACCACGGATGTGAAAAATGTTTATCACCTATACAATAGACCAGGCACCTTAACAGCAAGCACTACACCAGATTAAGAAGTACTGTTAAGTCATTAAGAATAAATGGCATCTGGTTTCAAAACCTAGGAAGAGCACAGTGCTCTGTCTCCATAACTTCCAAGGTAATGGACCTGAAAAGGGAGAGTATGATGGGCTGAAGCGGAAGCCATAGTTATGGATAATGACAGCTGTCATATATTCCCAAAACTGTGGAACTGAACAGCAAGTAAAAGACCCCTTTAAGATAGGGAAAAAAAAAAAGGTTATTTAACAGCACTATGGGGACACTCCCCATCACTGCTGCAAAATACTTATTTTTTACTGTCACCATATCTGAAGAGGTGTGATCATGCTCGTCTTTCTTGTACTCAGAGCCCGAGTATGCAGGCAGAGCAGGCCAGTGCCACTTTGCTCTCCCTCAGCTGCAGAATCCCAGCGTAGACAGGGTCCTGGAAAGACTCTGAGAGGGAAGGAGGAAGGTGGAAGGAGGCTGTGCACTGCAAGAACTTGTTACTGGCAAAAAACCCCTCCTTCCATCTTGGAGATA